CAACCTTCTAAGTATTCCTTTATATGTGGTTCTGGGACCATCCCCTGAGCCTGTTTGGTTGGGTATTCTGTGTTGTTATTGGGGGAGCTCTCTGCTATACATCCACCAGATCCGCCATCTTGTTAGTTCTCTCAATATTACCTCTTTTGAAGTCCCATTTGTTATATCTGTATTTTCTATATTATTTAAGATAAAACATTTTCCCAGAAGTTTTATATAAAATCTTTTATGACTATGTTTATGCTGAAAAATATAAATGGAACAACATGTAATATATGATATGAGATTATATATTTTTTCAAAAAAGTGATACAAGCATGGTAATTTTTTTCTTTTATAATTTATTAGATTAACAAAAATAAGACCTGAAGTCTTTCCACATCTTAGGGATTCCTTAATGTTCCTACCACAATCAAAACATTCATGAGTAAAGCATGTTTTAATTGTGGTGGGATCTTCTATATTGTTCCTTTAGTCAAAATGCTGCCAAAGTGGAACTAGTGTTGCTGTTTCCATGTGTTTCTGGTCAATAATGAGGCAAATATGAAAATTATTTTGAACATATTGTTTACTCATTTCTATCTCACCTTTCTTTGAGTTTATTGAGTAGCCCAATGGTCCAATTTCTCTTCATCCCCTCTCTCTTCTTCTACTATGATAAATATATATGTACCCAATTGTTCACCATTTCATATTCTCTTTCTCCTGGTCTATTACTTTCACCTGATTACACTTTCTTGCCAAGTTAAATATTGTGGTACATCAGTTTACCATTCTATTACTGCACTCTTGCTATCCCATTTCTCTTGTTTTAATATATGCTGCCTGAAAACCCTCAGTCCTGGATCTTCCATCAACTTTCATCTCTCTTGAGCTGCCATCCTGTTTAGGGAAATCACTTAGCTGTGTCAATACCAAGTTAACACTATTTGACTTCAGATGGCCGTGAAAATGCACCTTGCATATCCCTGTATTTTCCCCAGGTAAACTCCTCTCTCATTTTCTATAGTAAGTATTATAGATCTTCATTACACTTCTTAAACTCACCATATAACTCCATCTTTCCTCCCTCTCTTTTCCTCCTCCTTAAAAATTTATTGAACAATTTACCATGTGTTTGAAACTTGCCTATGAGTTAGGCATAGAACAGTAAACCAAACACCAATTACTGCTTTGTGTGTTGTGTCAGGGAATTTTGTCAACTGCATTATTATGTTTAATAAGCAAAATCCAGAAGTAAGTATTTGTGGAGTCCTGGTGTGGTGGTGTGGTATAAAGCACTGGACTGCAAAGTCTGTTTGCAGTCACCAGGTCCTCCTTGGAAACCCTCTACAAGGTCGTTATGAATCAGAACTGACTCAATGACACTTAACAAAAACAACATTACCATATTGGAGTCCTGGTGTAGATAATACACTGGACTGCAAGGTCAGTTTTAACTGCAAGGTCGGCAGTTCAAACCCACCAGTTGCTCCTAGGAAACCCCATACAGGTCACTATGATGGCACTTAATAACAAAAACATTAGCATATTAGGAGTCCTAGTGTGTCACTGTAGGATGAAGCGCTGGGCCATAGGCAGGTTTGAACCACAATGTCTGTGGCTCAAATCCACAGCACCTCCTGGAAAACCCTATACAGGGTCGCTAGGAGTTGGAACTGGCGCAGAGGCACTTAACAGCAACACAACAACGAAGTATTTGCATTGCAAAACGAGAAGTGCAAAGTGCTACAGGAGCCCAGAGGGTCGTATTAGTCATGGTAAATTTCCAACAGGAAATACTTTAAAATAGAAAATAAGGTAGTGTAGTAGAGCAGAAATATTTGAAGAGATAAAAACATGTGCAAAACTTTAGGACTGAGGATTTTGGTAGGTGGGTGACACTAAACATTCTCTGAGTAGAACAGAAACATGGAACGTGAAAGATGACTGGGAGGAGAGGGCCAGCCATACTGTACCATCCTTTTGATCTCTGGGAAAGGTATGTTTTTTTCCATACCAATGACTGCTTTACTTAGCTTTAGATTCTGGGTCTAGGTCAATTTGCTACAAACCAGGTTGCCTGGGTTGCTAATTTAGTGAATGAGTAATTTACCACTTTATTTGTTTCTTTTAACTAATGATAAAGTTGAAAGCAATTTGTGTTGGAAATCTCAAGAGTTCTATGAAGTTTCAGTGGAAGTTTTTTGTTTTTTTTTTTCTCCTTTTTTTCTCCATAATAGCACTTCTAGGAACAATTACTTTGAATTTCCCCAGCTGTATTTTTGAACATAGAGGGTGTAGAGACTCTCCTTAGATCGAAAGGCTGGGAAGCCTGCTGTCTTCCGTTAGCCCGAGGACTGAGTGGTGTGATGAAGACTGCAACTGCCAGGCAGACAGGAAGTCCTATATATTTTTCCTTAGAATATGTCCTTTGAAAATATTTATGCTTATGAAGAAATGATCATATTTGAAATATTTTTGTGATTCAACTTAATGTATTCTTCAATATCACATTTTCACACAAATGTACACATTTTTTAAGTCACTCAATTTCACTCCTCTCTTCCTGCTTCTTGGGTTAACAGCATATGCTCTTCTTTGTCTTAATTCTTTTCTCCATCTTTCATTCATCAAACATATCCTCTCTCTGCCCCAGCCTCCTTGATAGCACCATCAAAGAACTTCAGTACAAATAGGTAAAACAGTCTTTAAAACATTGCTATCAAAACAAAGTGAAACTGAAATCATTAATGAAACAAACACATTTGGGGAAATCATTAATGAAACAAAAACATTGGTGAACTGACCATTGTTCCAAACTTACTTTTTCTTTAAAATGATTACTGATTGGCCTTATACCTTATTTCTCATCTCCTTTTGTATATATATGTGATCTAAACTTTGCTTTTTTATCAAGATTCTCTCCCTTATCCAAAACATAATAAGAAACTTAAAGGTAGTAGTTGTCTGTTATATTTTTTCTGTTCTTGACTCTTGGGCTTATCTGTCTTAATAAATGTTTTCTAAATGAATGAATAGTTTGAGGATTTTAGGCTGATATTGACCTATATCTAGAAAGTTCACCTGCTCTCATGCAAATTGGTCTTTGAACCTTGTGTGTTTTAGAGTAACTCTCATGAGGTGATGACATGTTAAAACTGAGGTGAAAAACTGAAAACATACAATGAGCAGGTTTTCAATTCAGCTTCATTTATAGAGAAGACCAAAAAGACTCTGTGATTAGAGAGGGCAAATACTCTGGAGGTTGTAGCTAGAAGAGGTGTAAGTGAGGGTGAGGAGTCTTCTTCTTGGCAATGCAAATGCTTTGGAAATTTTAAGTGAAAGTACATGGCTGACGAGATGACAAGATTTGTAGGTTTACAAACTACAGAGAAATTGCTTTGGCAGGGTCTTCTGAAGAAAGGCCACAGGTTAGGTCAATAAATAGGCTGGCATTAGTGCATATGGATACATAAATCCTGCAATGATTAAGGAGATGATTCTAATCATTATTGATATTCGTGTGCTATTAAAAAAATACATATAGGTATGTAACACATTGAAAGAGCTATGATACAGACACATTTTAATGTGTTATAGATTTTTAGGAATTTCATTTGAATCTTTGTCAGCCATTGCTTGGTAAACAGAGAGTTCTTGTATTATATATATAGATGTATTTTGCAGGTTTACAGCACTTTGTTGGAAGAGTGCAAGATTTTCGATTATACCAAGTGGCACTTACAAACAGGTAAGCAGATGTGCTAGGAAAGTGTAAAGATAAATGCTGAATTCACTTAAATAAGAGTAGCATGAAAATTGCAGCATTTTTCATCTTTATAGCATTTAGTAAACATCACCTAATTAATGTTTACAGTATTTGTTTTCGTTTAGTCTGTGGCTATTATTCACTATCCAGTAGCTCCTTATAGTGTTAAATATTCTTTGTAACCAATTTTCTCCAAGAAAACTCAAAATTTGAGCAAGTTATATTATAGAATTTGGTATACATTTGCTTAAACGTTATATCTGAAGTAGTTTCTAATATTTAAGAAATTGCTAAGCACCCTGGTAGCGTAGTGGAATATGAGCTGGGCTGCTAGCCGCAAGGTCAGCAGTTGGAATCTACCAGGTGCTTCATGGGACAAAAACAAGACTTTCTGCTCCTGTAAAGCCTCAGAAACCTCATATATAGGATTGCTATGAGTTGGAATCAACTCTGGCACATACCACCACCAAGAAACTCCTATATTTTGTGAACATTGTTTTATTTAAATTATAACTACTAGAAAATGTAGAAAAATGAAAGTGATTATTTTGAACAATTAAAGTTGGAGACAAGAAGAATGAGTAATTTGAACTATTGTTATTGCTTTTATTTCCAGTGAACAAGTAATTATAAAGCACTGGGATAGGTTTAGTGAAGTATTTCTTCATCTTGAGAGTGAGTGGGAAATTCCCCTTGGATTCTTAAAAGTACATAGATTTCCATGCTGTTCAGAATGGTTCAAGTGAAAAATAGCTTAAGGTGTCCTATGACATTCCTTTCTTATGGTTTGAGGATATGTATAACTTTCTTGGATCAGTTCATCTCATTTACTTCTACTGAAGATCAAAAAGACATTGATTCATATTCCTTTAAGAACTTCCAAACACCAGAATTGTTTTTGTTGTTGCATACCATCAAGTTAGTTCCAACTCATAACCACCCTGTATAGGGTTTCTGAGGAGCAGCCGGTAGATTTGAACTCCTGATCTTTTGGTTAGCAGTCCAGTGCTTATCCTACAATTCCATACCTAGCTCTTGTTAATTTGAGACACATCAGCCCTTAGATGGCAGGTCCATTAGCTCAATAAACAGCATCTAGTGGCACTTTAGGATAAGTACTGGACTGTGAACTACAAGGTTGACAGTTCAAACCTACCAGCTGCTCCTGAGAAAACTCTGTGTAGGCTTGCTGCATCAGAGTTGATTCAATGGCACTTAATAACAATAGCATCATCAAGATACACCTGAATAATAATGTATAACATTGAAACACACTACTGGGGAGACTTACTACCATCCATCAGCTTTACTGTCTTTTGGATCACCTTTCTCTAAATGTTAAAGGAAAATGTTACAGTAATTCTTTGGGAATGGTGTTTTTCCTGGGGGCAAAGATTTCATATTGTAAAGTCACTTATGTCTGGAGGAAGACGAGGCTGTCTACTCCTTAAAGATATACAGTCTCAGAAACCCTAAGGAACAGTTCTAGTATGAGTTTAAATTGACTTGATGGCAGTGGTTGGGAGTCATTTTTGGTTCCATTGAAAACATTGTAACAATTGAAACATATAGATGACATATAAAGGAGGATATGTGATTTAATGTGGCTTCGAGATGAAGCGGAAAGCTGACTGACACTTCCATTGCTCCACTGGAGCCTGTGAAGAAGGAGACTCGTCTTCCCAGTTAGATTTGATTACTGGTGATGGCCTGTATGAAATTGTCTGGAAAAGTGTTATGTGGAAAAATGCCTATAAATAGAATGACACATTCTGATCTAGAACAGTTATATTTCCCTTAATGGAAAAATTAAATATATCTACCTGGACTTGGCATTCTTCTTCAACTGTTGGCAGTTGCCACATGATTGGAAGCCACTCAAGCAATTAAAGATGCCAAAATTTGTACAGATGAGTCACAGGAAACCATTGACAAATGATCTTGGGTTTAGTCCCTTCACCCAAAAGAGAAGCAGATAAAATGATACATTATTGCTTTCTTCTTTCCCATGAATGAACTGGAGAACTTATCTGTAATTTTCATCATTTTCAATATATTATCATTCACTCTTAACAGCAAATTAAGTTCACCTAAATGAGTGCTGTCAAGTCGATTA